AAAAAAAAACAAACAAACAAACAAAAAAAATCACAACACACACACACACAACCAAAAAGGGTGAGAATCTAAAGGCATGCTTTTGGATCCAACAGAGAGACCCAGAAAATATATCTTACCTAATATCATATCCTAAAAATAGTGCATAGGTAACTGATCTTGAATTAGTTTCCACCGTTGACAACTTTTTCATAACAACAGCGAAGAAGGTGAAAAGTGAACTGAACAAGGCACTAATGAAGCAATAGCTGTAAACGATGTAACATGACAAAGACAAAGAAAGATAAAAGGAACACAGAATTCACACCTGTTAACTTCAGTTGAATTTTCGTTCATTTCCTCCATTTGTGATGAAGAAATTAGGGTATTATCTGTAANAGGTGAAAAGTGAACTGAACAAGGCACTAATGAAGCAATAGCTGTAAACGATGTAACATGACAAAGACAAAGAAAGATAAAAGGAACACAGAATTCAAACCTGTTAACTTCAGTTGAATTTTCGTTCATTTCCTCCATTTGTGATGAAGAAATTAGGGTATAATCTGTGANGACAAAGAAAGATAAAAGGAACACAGAATTCAAACCTGTTAACTTCAGTTGAATTTTCGTTCATTTCCTCCATTTGTGATGAAGAAATTAGGGTATTATCTGTGAGTTCAGAGGAAGTGAGCTCCGAAGCGTTTACATATATACTCAGTTGAGGAAAAAGAATAGTTGAGAAGCGCTGCCAACGACTTCGGAAATTGTTACTATAGTGTCCCATGATGTTATCCGAATAATCTCTCTCTCCCTCGCACCGGACACCATGCGAGTTTGAGGCGACTGTCGAACACGGTTTACCAATATTTTCATTTTTCATGAAAATTTACGGATAACTAATTCTATGATAATTATTATTATTATTTTGATAACAAGAAATCTCTCTATGGTAAGATTACTTTTGATCAGTCCTATGAGAATAAACATCAAATATTTACAATCACTCGTAAAATTACAAGTATCAATTAAGTCTCAAAAATATCAATGAGGATCAAATCCCTAACGTCTGAATCTATAATTCATTTAAGTTCGTTTCTATATCTATAAATTTTTCGTATATCATTTTACTCTGGAAGTCAACAACAAATTTAATAAGACAATTATCATTAAATCATTATCAAATGATTTTTAAATAAGAAAAATCAAATAATTGAAAGTCCCTCTCGAAAAATGCAAGGGGCGGACATTACGGACTAAGTAGTATAGTTTAGTTAATCCTATAATTTTAGAAATTTAATTTTACCAACAACAAAGAGAGAACTTCTTCTTCTTCTTTTTTAAAATAACCATGCACAATTTACATAAAAAACTGTTCACTTATTCAAGAGAGTTTGAGATAGTAGAAACCCATAATTTATGATCCACTTCGAAATGACCTAACTTTTAAAAAGATAGAAACAAATTTATAAATCCCAAAAATGCAATGCTCTATTTTGGATTTTCATTGATTTCTTCCATGACTTTTATTGTTCGTATCACACGTGCATCTTCAAACAATCAGGGGAGGTGCCGAGTATAAATGATGCAATTCCGAGAATGAAAATTCATTCCCTCGTTGTGCAATTAGGGATGACAGTAGATCGGAAAAAAATGAGTATTCGTCTAAAATCGTCTCATTTGGACCAGAGATGAACCATACGTCTTGGACAATGAACGTATACGAAGATATCCATATAAACATGTGTGGAGATAGGGACGGAGATGAACTGACATTTACCCATGCCCCATCCCCTTCCCCGTCCCCATCCCCCTCTAACCCGTGATATATATCATTTTCGCCCACCCATAAAATTAATTTTAAAATTCAGTGGCCCACTCCTTGTTCTTTTTTCTTTTCCTTTCTTTTGTATTCCTCCTCCCCATACTCACCTAATAGAACAAGACAATGTTTTTCACCATTTCTCTCTCTCTCTCGTCTTTCTTTTTTCTTCTCTCTTTCATTCATCAGGCGATTGCCCATCTCTCTCATTATGCTTCTCTCTCTTTTACCTTTGTGTTCTATTTTATGGTTTTTATTAGATTTGTGATTCTTTTTGTTAGATTTATGATGAGTTTTGTTAGATTTAAAGGCATGTGTTGTGTTAGCTATTGAATGTTTTTGTTTTGGATCTATAGTGTGTTAGATACTAGGTTTTTAGATATTGTTTGTTCTATTTTTTTTTTTTTTTGTGTGTTAGATTTGTAATTTTCATGTGCTACATTTGATTTTTCTATGTTAGATATGCAATATTTTGAATTTTCTAATTTTATGTTACTTGTATATGCTATTTGTTGAATTCTGATTATAATGTTAGATATAATTTTTGCTGATTATTCTACTTGAATATGATTTTTGCTCTTTGAAAATTGATGGATAGACTTTTTTGATAGTAAAATGTTGGATAGACTTCTGGCCTGAAAAGTAATGGATAGATTTCTTGTCCGCTCACTGTACCAAATGTTAGTCCTTGTTGATAAGAAGAATTATGTTGTAATTTTCAGCTAGTGACATACAATTTTTTGATTTTTGGATTATTTACAATGTTAAATTATATTGGACTTGAGCAGGGGACGAGGTTGGGGTTGGGATGAGGTGAGGATTACAAATTTATCCGTAGACGAGAATGAAGATAAAAATTATATCGATAGACCGATGATAAAAGAAATTTTTTTAAACAGGTATGAGGAGGGAGACTACACCCTACATGCCGTCTCAATCTATTATCAATCCTATGTACAGCCAATATGGAATACATAAGCAGTTCAATTATTTGTACACGAAGTTATTCATTTAACAAAAAATTACGGTGTGTGCCCACTCGCCAAGTTGGGAGCGTTGTACACGTATTCTTATGCTTTGGATGCTGATCCGGATTGGGCCACATGCTGCCCACGCGGCGATGTCCATTATCAAGTGGGTCAAGCTACGTGGCATGGTGGCCTCGCTCTTCTTTTACTCATGTGTTCGGCAAATTATTCGACCTACCCCAACAAAATATATTTTTGTAGTGAGCCCCCGAATATATTTTACTATAAAATTTACGCCCTTCCAAAACATGTTGTGGTAAAAAAAAAAAGTCGCCCACCTTCGGAGTGTGATCCAAACCCCCAAATTCAGGTTGCATATATCCTTGTGATTGAATACACATTCCCCGTAAACATTCATACGACCTGTCTTCGAGAAATGTGCAACTCATAACCCAAAAGAAGGAGACGAAACCAAGAAGAGAGACCGAAAGGAGACTACCCAATGCTCCAAAGGGTCAGTCTCAATTTAATTAGAATCAAATTACGATTCAAAATAATTGAAATTGATACTTAAATACTAAAAATGACAAATGACCCCATTTTATTGTGAAACCATCATATTGAATCATAACATCAACCTATCAACTCAAGATTTTGGCGTTGTGCAGAAAAATAATCCATCATTATCACGGGGAGTGTCAAAAATATTAGTCGACTCGTTAATATGATATGAACACGAACATGGTACGAGATTAAAAAATTTAAGTCTTTTTCAAGTCCCATGTTTCATAAATTAGTGAACCCAACACGATTAATAACAAATCAAATATGAGTAAGACTAATCAAAAAAAATACACGATACGACTCGTTTATATATTGATTATTTATGATTTATACATGACACAAATATAATATGATACAATTCGTTAGACACAAACTAATAAATGGNAGTGTCAAAAATATTAGTCGACTCGTTAATATGATATGAACACGAACATGGTACGAAGTCTTTTTCAAGTCCCATGTTTCATAAATTAGTGAACCCAACACGATTAATAACAAATCAAATATGAGTAAGACTAATTAAAAAAAATACACAATACGACTCGTTTATATATTGATTATTTATGATTTATACATGACACAAATTTAATATGATACAATTCGTTAGACACAAACTAATAAATTGATCGGGTATGAATTGAGTGTTTTTTTAATACGAACTTACTAACACTCGACATAAACCTATCTCACCCAACACAAATAACAGACATAGCTATCCTTCTCCTTCCCTCCCACACCCACNCTCGTTTATATATTGATTATTTATGATTTATACATGACACAAATATAATATGATACAATTCGTTAGACACAAACTAATAAATTGATCGGGTATGAATTGAGTGTTTTTTTAATACGAACTTACTAACACTCGACATAAACCTATCTCACCCAACACAAATAACAGACATAGCTATCCTTCTCCTTCCCTCCCACAACCACACACACACAATTAATTACACTTGAATTCATAATAGAAAGTTTAACTTCTATTATAAAATCTTTATAAGAACAACTCTAATTCAGCTCTCTAAAATGGTTAGCTGAAATAAATTTAAATATTATATTCTTTATTTTAGTTAGCCACTTTTACAAATTTATTCAAATAACGTTCTCTATTTTAATTAACTACTTCACCTAGCTTTCAATAAAGAGAAGAGAGTTGCAACATATAAATAGATAGAGAGAGAGACAGAGAGAGAGAGAGAGAATTTGGAGAGGCTACATACATGGCTCTCCAAATTTAGAAAACCACTTGGGTGAAATAAAAAAAAGAGTACATTCAACACCAAAAAAATTAAAAGTGTGTTAAAATTTTTCTTTAGTTTTTAGCTAGTTAAAATAACTAAAAAAAAGAGAAATAAAGAGTTGGCTAGAATTGCTGTAAGAAGTTATATTAGTTTAGGACAAACAAGTTTAAAAAATCCTTTTAGTGGGTGAAGGTAGTGCTCAATATCCAAACATTCGTTAGTTTGACCTGAGCCGTAAATAAAGTATCCACAGTCATTCCATTAGAGAAACATGTGGATGTGGTTGTCAACCCAAAGCTGTAGCTCACTTTCATCAATTCACAATAAAACTAGAAAATTCGAAAGTATATACTTTTTGTCAACCACATAAAAGAATGAAAGGAACAGAAAAAAGAAGAACCACAATTATCGTTCATGTTTTGCTAGTTACAAGATTACAACATCATGAGTTACATGAAATGTCGGCGTGGATGTGTTAGCTGGGATGAAACTCCCTCTTTGTACATGATGTATAGCCAGAAGATTATGCCTGTAAGCTCTATACGACCACAAAAAAAATGAACGGCTAACCTAACGTGAATGTTTAAAAAATGACTGCTTTGTAGCTATTGTGTGGCAAGGATGGACAACCAAGCAAACAATGATATCAAACTCCTTCCTTCAGACTCAACNCCACAAAAAAAATGAACGGCTAACCTAACGTGAATGTTTAAAAAATGACTGCTTTGTAGCTATTGTGTGACAAGGATGGACAACCAAGCAAACAATGATATCAAACTCCTTCCTTCAGACTCAACCAAAAACAGTTTCTGAGGTCTACTCTTACTTGGGCTATCATTGATAAAGTGAGACAAAAGGGGCTTTTGTCCTTCCTCAAGTGTCTCAAGCAGAACAGAGAATCAAAGGTCTGCAAATGGGAAGCCTGACTTCACATGAGAATGAACTCCAGGAGTTTTTGTAGAATNGACAAAAGGGGCTTTTGTCCTTCCTCAAGTGTCTCAAGCAGAACAGAGAATCAAAGTTCTGCAAATGGGAAGCCTGACTTCACATGAGAATGAACTCCAGGAGTTTTTGTAGAATATTATGGAGAATGAACTTCCACAACCAAGCAACAAAATTTCATTTTAATGTTGATGCGCCTGTTTTGTCATCGTATGCTGTAGGGAAGCGAAGTCCAGAACCAAAATGTCTTGATGTTGGACACAACCAAGAAAAGATATTTGGACCCAGAACCTGTAACAGTCAAGCAACATAAAAGAATTTGAAATTTTGGAAATCTAGTCTGGAATGAATGGTAAAGTCATCTAATGGACCCAAGCAAATATCTGTGTGACCAATTAATGGCGAACCTATGACTGTCAGTCACCAAAAACCATGTCAATCAAGCTCAATCTGTTAAATCAAATGATGCCCCAACAATGAAACCTCACTAGTCCTTACATTCAATTAGACATATTCTGGCAGTACGCATAAACGATAAAGGGCATCAGGAATTAGGAAACAAGAGGAAGGGGAGAAAGAATGCTCTTACAGATATCAGATTTTCATAAGCACCAAGATCATATGGATGTGAATAGACATCCCCTCCTTTCTCCGCAAGCCACATAGCCCTTACTCCTTCATGGTACTGCCACATAGAGCCTTAAAAATCAGTTATCAGGATTTTTATATCATTTGTTTGAATTTAATCACCCAAACAAATGGAATTAATTGTCAATGTTCATATCTATCAACCTCAATGGTGGTCTTGTTTCGAAGAATGAGGTAGATATGCCAGCCCAAAAGAACACTCAGTGCCATACTTAGTGGGACTAGCAACAACCCTGATATGATCTGGAAGTAAAATCTAATAAGCAAACAGTAAACAAACTCATATGACAGCATATAGCTCAAATCTAACAAATTTCCAACGAACTTACATATAAAACTCTATGCGAGTCTTCAGTTTTCTGCTCATCCTTTTGAGCATCAACAGTTACACTACCAACAAGCAAAACCTGAAAAATTAAAAATAAAAACAGGAATAAAAAATAGTTATGCTCCTACTCTGCCTTTCTCAAGAAGTTTGCCACTCATTATCACCATTTTAGAGCTTTTTCAATTTGGTCAACATTAAAGGATCAACTACTTAGATTCAGCAATACCATGGAACAAACAACACTGAATATGACAAAAGATTAAACAGCTGTGACACATGAAGGCATGAAAATGTACCAGTAAAAAGATGCACGTCACTCACAGTATACACAAGGCAATCTAACATATTTAACGCTTGACATGAGAAATTCGAACTCACCAAGGAGTATAAGCAGGCGATCACAGCATAAACAACAAAGATGAAGAAGACCTTATAGTTTGCATGACCCACACAGTTATTCATCCAAATGCAATGGTGGTCCTTGCAATCAAGAAGCAGCACTTTAGCATTTTAGCCAAGACCTTTCAGAAAAGGCATCAATCATAATAGAGACCAGGCATACCATTCGCAAAACACATCTGTTACAAACACGGCAGTGATGAGCACGGGGGGGCTTATAGTGGGAACACTTTTGGCAGTATCTCAAGTCTCCACCCTGCAAGACAACTAAAAGAAAAGTCAGAGGTCTCACGCTTCTGATGTAATCAAATTTGAGATTTGTCTCTAAGTTTTTTATTCTAGTGTATCAACCTCTGCACGATCTTACCAGCATGGCAATCAAATAATCATTTCAGGAAAGTGGTCAAAGAAAGAAGCATTTTTAATGCAAATAATGTACATATATCTGCATCTTCTTCCACCTTAAACACTTACATGAAATTGGTATATAACCCCGGCACAGAACCAAATCTCTGAATCCCAAAAGCTGAAAGTGCTTTATCAATTTGTTGCTACATTTCCCATATGTATCTAAAAAATTTCATAAAAAGAGGGGAGGACTTGAATTGACATCTTATCAGCCCAAAAACTAAATCGACAGGTCCCCAAAATAGAGATACCAAATTCATAATGGTTGTAATACCGACACTCGACATGCCCCCACCCCACACCCACCCAAAAAAAATATCCATATATCCTCTTAAGTAAGTACAAAAAGAGCAAAAATTAAACACAAAAAGGAAAATTTTCTTAGCAATCAGCCACTTCCAGCTTCCCAAAATATGCCATATTAGAAAGAGCTTGCTTCGTGCAGGATCAATTAGAAATGCCAAAAGCCTAGTGAGGGATCATCTAGCTCTCATCATCCATCTTATTTCACTCACTAAATGCCTAATCCAGAAAACGGTTCCAAGCTTCAAACACAACTACTCACGTAGGCTCCAAAACTTACATTGTCCACAATAATTGAACAAAAACCTAACAAGAAGTTCTGATATTGTGGAATCTCAACATATCAATTACAGAATCAACGGTTAGCTACAAAATATTTCACAAACTATGACATAATACATGCTATCTACCAAGTACCACTACTTGCAGGACATATGAATATGGTAACAAGCATCACACTAGTCTTAAGTCAGTAGTTGAATTGAGTAAATTATCACATTCACATCATTTTCATTCACGCTTTGCATAAAATGGAAAACAACATGAAGATCTGAAGCGTGAGAACACGAGTTAACGTCTTAGATCAGCCAATTTGTACAGATATGTCAACAGGAAATCCTGTATTCAATTTACACCTCCAAAACAGTAACTTGTATCACCGTTGACACATGATCGAACAGCTAATAGTCTTTGTGGCCTTTTTTTGGGAAAAAAGAACTAAACATAGAATGGAAACAGAAATTAAATTACTAACTTGCTTCAGAACACCCACCTGAAAAAACCCAAATTTTAATTACAAAAATCTCCCACAGATCATCACGCACAAGCAATACTTAATGTTCAGCCAATTTAATATCAGCTCACATCAGTACAATCAATCCAGCAATTGAAGATAATCAAGATTATGATTTTTATNTAATATCAGCTCACATCAGTACAATCAATCCAGCAATTGAAGATAATCAAGATTATAATTTTTTTTATCCAGGCAGTAAAAAATCACAAAAACCCTAGAAAGATAGAAAAGAAGTCATCGAGTTCTTGAGAGAGGACCTTGCGCTTGACCTCGTGGATAGGGCTATCGGAGTCCTCGATGTCGGGAAGGTATGTGTGTGGGACCCGACCCGCATCGGTGAAGATGGCGATCGCGTAGTTATATACGCACAGGAATGCCATGGAGGTGAAAACGACAGCGTTTAGCATCCCGGGCGAGGACCATAGACCGAACCACTGGTCTATGAATATGAAGACCGTCGTGAAGTATATGTAAGCGATCGCCGTTACGACGACTGCGACGGGGAGCGAGAATCTGTAGCTTCGCGCCATTCCTATGGTGCACGATGATCGACGGTGGGTGGCTAAAATGGAGCGCTGGTATTCAATGTGGGGTGGCGGGCATGGTGCTGTAAGGCGGTGGTTAAGGGGGACCGAGGCACCGGCGTTTTGAAAACGGCGGCGTCCCCGGCTAGTTTGGTGGTTGAGGGGTAAGCGGGGAGCGAAATGTGACGGCTTTTGGAGGGTAAACGAGGGAGAGTTGGTGACAGGTGTATCAAGTTGCCAGTTGGGGGGCGTGCGGTGCAATGTTTATTGACTCACCGAAATGATAAGACTATGCTAACCAAAAAATAATTTTTAAAATTTAATAAATTATAACATTTGTCCCATTTTAATTCCTAATATTATCAAATAAATAATATCCAAATTGTTAAAAAAAAATTATCATAAACTTGCACGTGATTCTTAAATATGGATAAAAAATAATTTGATTAGTTATTGACCAAAATTTGGATAGTCCTTGACAAAAAGAAGTGTAATATAGGTAGTTCTTCACTAAAATTTGGATCGAAATTTAGTCAAAAGGTATCAAAATTATTTTTTTTCCTATATTTAAGTATCACGTAACAAGTTTATAATAAAAAATTATTAGCAATCTAGATACTGTTTACTTGAGCGACCACATAGAAATATATTTAATATTTCAAGAATCAAAATGATGTAATTGAAATATTAGAGACCAAAATGAGACAATTTTCATATTTTAGAAACCTACAATGCAATTAACCTTTACAATTTTTTAAAATTATTTATACTCAAAAATAATAAAATGTAAAGGTGACACATGGAAACAATCTGACGGTCATGAAAAAGTCTATAAGAATCCATAACTGACAAAATGGTTAAAGAAGTTGGACTCTAAGAATCACAAAAGGTGGGAAAATGTGTCTTAAGCTGCAGTTCGAGAAAGTTTAGTGCACGTCTACATATCTTGAGGGAAAAAGACCATGATTACCGTCATGACTAAAAAACATGACTTCGATAGTTGAAGATTATCCCTATAAATAACAAAAATAAGACTATAGAAAAAAAATTCTCGATCAAACATAACAAATTCTACAAATAATTAGTCTTTCTCTTACTTATTTTTACTTTCAAACAACTTTACTTTTATTTTTACATGTAACTTAGCACTCTTCATTTAATGTTAAGTACATAACCATTTTTATCTTTTAAATTTAGTTTATCTGCTTCTTTACATTCTAGATATTTTTTTACCTTTCAATCCATTACGTTGAAAGTTGAAATTTTTTTTAAGTCTTTGTTCCCTAAGACATAAAGAAAAAGTCAGAGATAATCGTAACTTTGTTTCAATCATCTAAGTAATTATAATTTTAGAATGTCACATCGATTCAAATAAGTAAGATAATACGTGTTTGGATTTTAAATTCAATCAATCAATCAGACTTTTGTATGTCCGCAATTTAAAAATACATTAAACACAAATTGATGTCATCTTACAATTTTTATGATTCAAGTTATAATTTTTTAAAGATTAATTACCAAAAGTTCTAAATGACTATCAAAAAAATTATATAAAAAATAATATATGGCGAAGCAAGAAAGATTGTTTTTCCAAATATCATAGCATTTTGTGTTTTTATGGCACATTTGAGACTTTCCATTTCAATTACTATTTGAATTTGGAAAAGTNTTTTCCAAATATCATAGCATTTTGTGTTTTTATGGCACATTTGAGACTTTCCATTACAATTACTATTTGAATTTGGAAAAATATGAATTAATTAAAACACATTTATAGTTTGAATATTTGATTGTTTCAATTTATATTTTCGATACCAATTAAAAATAAGATGCAAATTGGTGTACAATATGATTAACTACTATATTTTTCAATTTTACCTTATTATTATTTTCAATTTATTGTTGTTAAGTGAAAGTGATGGAATTTAAAACCAACACTCACTCCTTCCCAATCTTACGTTTAGTACTAGGTTAGGGTATTTGTACCTATTAAGTGAAAGTGATGGAAGGTGTCGAATTGTTTGTCATCGGTTGTTCCTTTATGTGCAACTCTACAACGGCTTTGATGTTTACTTTCGACATCAAATCTTTTTTATTTTAATTTACAACAATACCCTTCTCAAAAACTCCCTAGCTATCAACATTATAATAGATTTTGATATGTTAATGAGGGCATTAGTAGAATTTTCGACATTATGTCTAATTTCGTATACTAGACTCAATTTATATATTGATTTAAACATCAGAAGGTTCCTTTAAGACATCGTAATTGTCTCTTTCGATTCATTTCGAATCTTGCAATTCATGTGCAGTACTATATTACTGAATGCCTTGATAATCAGTAACAAATAATCAATATGACCTTTGTGCTTCTTCTAGTGCTTAGTTTTTTTTGTAGAGAAAAGTGAAAATTCAATGTTCAAACAAAATGAAGTTAGTAGTTTACTTAATGACTATCGCTCCTTGTTAGATTTTAAGATTGTGAGCTAGAACAACATCACTCTCTCTCTGTNCCTTGATAATCAGTAACAAATAATCAATATGACCTTTGTGCTTCTTCTAGTGCTTAGTTTTTTTGTAGAGAAAAGTGAAAATTCAATGTTCAAACAAAATGAAGTTAGTGGTTTACTTAATGACTATCGCTCCTTGTTAGATTTTAAGATTGTGAGCTAGAACAACATCACTCTCTCTCTGTAATAATGTATGATAAAAAAAAATTGTTCACACAATATTGGTGTGTCCATTGTGAAGGTTAAAGAAAATAGTTCAAATGTTCCAAAAATAGGAAAATGACAATGAGTGAAGTTGCGGGCTCTTACTAAAATTGAGATGGGACCAATAAGATTGTGTTTCAGATGACTTGTAAATTTCAAAAAATTCTTTTTAAATGAGCATTTTTCAAAAGTATTTTTTTAAAAAATAGTTTCATTAAATAAACACCGTTTGAATGCTCAAGTAAAAAAAATACTCAAAAAGCATTTTATAANTGACTTGTAAATTTCAAAAAATTCTTTTTAAATGAGCATTTTTCAAAAGTATTTTTAAAAAAAATAGTTTCATTAAATAAACACCGTTTGAATAAAAAATACTCAAAAAGCATTTTATCANCATGACTTCGATAGTTGAAGATCATCCCTATAAATAACAAAAATAAGACTATAGAAAGAAGATTCACGATCAAACATAACAAATTCTACACAGAATTAGTCTTTCTCTTACTTATTTTTACTTTCAAACAACTTTACTTTTATTTTTACATGTAACTTAGCACTCTTCATTTAATGTTAAGTACATAACCATTTTTATCTTTTAAATTTAGTTTATCTGCTTCTTTACATTCTAGATATTTTTTTACCTTTCAATCCATTACGTTGAAAGTTGAAATTTTTTTGAAGTCTTTGTTCCCTAAGACATAAAGAAAAAGTCAGAGATAATCGTAACTTTGTTACAATCATCTAAGTAGTTATAATTTTAGAATGTCACATCGATTCAAATAAGTAAGATAATACGTGTTTGGATTTTAAATTCAATCAATCAATCAAACTTTTGTATGTTCNTAATTTTAGAATGTCACATCGATTCAAATAAGTAAGATAATACGTGTTTGGATTTTAAATTCAATCAATCAATCAGACTTTTGTATGTCCGCAATTTAAAAATACATTAAACACAAATTGATGTCATCTTACAATTTTTATGATTCAAGTTATAATTTTTTAAAGATTAATTACCAAAAGTTCTAAATGACTATCAAAAAAATTATATAAAAAATAATATATGGCGAAACAAGAAAGATTGTTTTTCCAAATATCATAGCATTTTGTGTTTTTATGGCACATTTGAGACTTTCCATTACAATTACTATTTGAATTTGGAAAAATNAGTTTTTTTTGTAGAGAAAAGTGAAAATTCAATGTTCAAACAAAATGAAGTTAGTAGTTTACTTAATGACTATCGCTCCTTGTTAGATTTTAAGATTGTGAGCTAGAACAACATCACTCTCTCTCTGTAATAATGTATGATAAAAAAAAATTGTTCACACAATATTGGTGTGTCCATTGTGAAGGTTAAAGAAAATAGTTCAAATGTTCCAAAAATAGGAAAATGACAATGAGTGAAGTTGCGGGCTCTTACTAAAATTGAGATGGGACCAATAAGATTGTGTTTCAGATGACTTGTAAATTTCAAAAAATTCTTTTTAAATGAGCATTTTTCAAAAGTATTTTTTTAAAAAATAGTTTCATTAAATAAACACCGTTTGAATGCTCAAGTAAAAAAAATACTCAAAAAGCATTTTATAAAAAAATGTGTTTGAATTATCAATTAAAAAACATTTATTTATGTATTAATTTTTAATATATCTCTGAAAGGTATATTAAAAATTGACTAGTAGTGGTGGATGGTGGTGGTGGGGGGGCGATGGCAATGGTGGTGGTGGTGGGGCAGTAGTGGTGGTGGTGTTCAGGGGTGTCAACTTTGACTCGTCAACAAGAATCCAATAAAATACGATTCTAAAATTGACACGATTATTAAATACATAAAATAAATAGTCTAGATTAATGAATGACATATAAAACACACTATTTTTTTTTGTGGGTTTTAAAACGAACATAACACGAATAATAATGATATAAAACAAAAAATACCGATACCCTAAAATGAAGGGCACCACTTTGATTGTGTTCACACCCCACTCAAATTTTACTATTATTTATTGATACAGAGAAGCGTATAAAAATACATATGCAACAAGAAGAATGAGATTGAGAAATAGAATGAAACCAAAAGTTAATTTACATACAAATACAAAATGACAATAAAAAACTATCAAAATTTACCTTCCAATAGAAGGAATTTCATATTTTGATGTCCATTTGGCTCTCATAATTGGGGTAGATTGGCGGTCACAAAATGGAAACAAAAGAAAGGCTAAAAAAAAATTTATATTCTTACAATATAGAGGAAATTTGTAGGCACATACCCCATAGATATAAATAAGCCATCCCTTGATCATTTCCCATTGCTCTAGCAGAAGTGAGGATTGGGGCCACACCATTGAGACATCGTCCTACTCTGTTCCTATTATTAATGTTTGCATAGGCACAACCTTCTCACTACAGTATGGAGCTAAAGAGTAATTTTATTTAGATTTAAAAAATTAATTTAATTTATTGATTTAATTATATGACAGTGACATGGTCTAATATTATTGTTGTGAGGATAACTGTTCGGGTTCTTGGACTCTATTATTTGAGACATCAATTTATCAACAAATAAGATTAATTTTTTCATGGGTTTTTTGGGTATGAATATATTTTTTAGACGTATTTGAGAGAAAGTGTNCACATACCCCATAGATATAAATAAGCCATCCCTTGATCATTTCCCATTGCTCTAGCAGAAGTGAGGATTGGGGCCACACCATTGAGACATCGTCCTACTCCGTTCCTATTATTAATGTTTGCATAGGCACAACCTTCTCACTACAGTATGGAGCTAAAGAGTAATTTTATTTAGATTTAAAAAATTAATTTAATTTATTGATTTAATTATATGACAGTGACATGGTCTAATATTATTGTTGTGACGATAACTATTCGGGTTCTTGGACTCTATTATTTGAGACATCAATTTATCAACAAATAAGATTAATTTTTTAAGTTTTACATTTAGGTTTGAACATTTTTTTTCATGGGTTTTTTGGGTATGAATATATTTTTTAGACGTATTTGAGAGGAAGTATATGAATAAGTTGTTTACTCTATTAAGTTCAATTTTAAAAAATTATCTTGTAATTAGATACAAAATTCAAATGACTTTTTTATTTTTTTTACTTACTTACCCTTCTTTAAATTATACATAATTCTTATTATTTCACACACTCTCTCTCTCTCCTTCTGTTTCTCACACCATTACTTTCTCCCCTATTTTCTCTTTGTTACTGTATCTATCTCTCCCCTTTTTTTTTCTCCCTCTCTTATTGATAATTTATTTTCTTTTCAAATAGGAGAAAAAAATTAAATCAAATTTTTACATATTTGAAAAAAAATATAAATTATCAATGAGAGAAAGACTAGAGGATAGATAGAGAGAAAATAGAGAAGAGAGGGNCAAAATTCAAATGACTTTTTTATTTTTTTTACTTACTTACCCTTCTTTAAATTATACATAATTCTTATTATTTCACACACTCTCTCTCTCTCCTTCTGTTTCTCACACCATTACTTTCTCCCCTATTTTCTCTTTGTTACTGTATCTATCTCTCCCCTTTTTTTTTCTCCCTCTCTTATTGATAATTTATTTTCTTTTCAAATAGGAGAAAAAAATTAAATCAAAATTTTACATATTTGAAAAAAAATATAAATTATTAATGAGAGAGAGACTAGAGGATAGATAGAGAGAAAATAGAGAAGAGAGAGTTAGAGAAAATGGAGAGAGAGATGGAGAGGGGGAGAGAGTAATGAATAATCTTTTAATCTTTTTTCTAAAAAAATGTACTTAAGTCTAAATAAGTTTTTTTAATGTAATTTAATTCAATTGTACCGATATCCAAATTTTCATTTTTTCATCTCATCCTATATTTGGACACTTAATCTAGATTACATGTGGGGCTCTATAAAAAAGTAAAGATTTCATTTGATTAAAGTCTATAATATCCTTCTTATTATGTAGATATGATATCAATTTGATTATGACTATGATTTGAAACCCATCCCCATGAGTGTCACGAAACATCAATATATTGGTTTATTAGAATTATTCATATCGGGCTAGGACAGAAAAAAAAAAAACTCAAAGAACGGTCTTTAAAATGCCAACCAACTAAAAAATAAACTCTATAATTCGACTACTTTTTCAAATTCAATATCATTTTATCCCACTCAAACCCACATAGCAAATACACTACTACAGTTCAAAGGACCAAAGCTTTTGAACCAATCCTCTCAATGGAAGTCCGATGGCCTTCGGTGGGACTAACAGTATTAACTAACCAGACACTATGAGAATGAAAGCATTTAGTTCCAAAGAGAATAAATATTGACCTATAAAGATGGCTCTATAAATAGTATATATATCTATCTGATTGAAAAAACTAAGATGATCGAAGCAACCCCATTTAGAAAGGAGGTTTTGAGTAATGACAAACAAATAATATAAAGATGCTTGGGCGAAATTAGAAACAAGGATCGAAAGTTTTGGGCTTGGATCTTTCCCTATACCCCTATGTTGGGCCATGCTTAGTAAAAAACATGTACTGTGCTTTGGAAACTAATAGAGAGAATTATATTTATACTCTTGAAATTTGTTACTTAATCATTTAAATTTCTTGATATTTAAAATATTACATACAAATATCTTGAGGTTTATATGCACGTAACATTTATGCTCCTACCGTCAACGTTCGTTACTAAATTTGTTAGCAAATTGCACCCAAATTTTTTAAAGTTTGTATGTATATATTATATTCCTCAAAATTTAAAATATTACATTTAGACCACTTATTAGTTACAAAACTAACGAACGATCAAATTATTCCAATTAAAGATAAAAAATATTATATTTATTACAGTTTGACCCTTATTTGTTTTTTTAGTTTTATTCCTATAGATAGTATAATAGTATACTAATTATAATTCTTTTAAAAAAAATTTATTTTAATCAATGACATAATAGAACATGAATTTTAGTTGTAAAATTTAAAATATTTGATATTTTATTTTTAATTGAAGTATTTTTTTTATCTAACTACAATATTTTAATCTTGAAAAGTCTAAATATTACGTCCTTAAAAATTTTAAGGGGTCTCTATGTAATTTAATAGCAAATAGAGTAACGAACATTTACAATAAGAATCTAAGTGTTATGCGTGTACAAATTTTAGGGGGTTTATGTATAATATTTTAAATGTTAGAGGACTTAAGTGATTAGGTAACAAATTTCAATAAATCTGGATGTAATTATCTCATAGTAATATGGGTTGTTCCAACGTTAGGAAAAATAACTTTTAATGTCGTTATGTCCTAATCTACTTTCATATGGAGTTTCGTTTGCATTTATGTAGTGTAGAAAGTGAATTTTTTTTGCAAAGAACTTTTATAAAGTAATAATATAAAAAAAAATGCTTATTGTGCATAGAAATATCAGATGTACAAAATGGGAAGGACGATTACCTCCCTATCTCTACCATAAAAACATCCGTTGATCAAAATGGACCAAGCACCCATTCTTTGGGCAAACCAAGAGGAGGGTGGCCCTACGATCACACAGTTGCTACCATACGAAAATGGGCCAGTACCACATTATCTGAACACCTCATTACTACGGGGACCACTTTGTATCGATCGAAGGGTGTAAAAAGCGCGTGCCAGATCCTCTGATCATCAACTAGTGATAGAGACCAAATCTCTGAGCAGCCAAGTCACATCGTATTTGAGCAAGACCAATCCTTGATTTCTCAAGATCATACTCCATCCACACGTTTTGTTGATGATGATGACCAATCACATAGGCCTCGATACCCAATAGGTCAGAGTTCCCAAATGTGAAGCAGTACACTGAATCATTCCCCCTAATTTCACCCGCGACCCGATATAGTAACCGATCACCCGAAACTGTCATCTCAGCGCCCCGAAACACTAAGTTCACCGGGGGCAATGATGCCAAGCTTGTTTGATTTAAAGCAACCCGATAACATAAATCCATTGCCCCTTGGAAAACAAAATTCGGGTCATCCAAGACTCGTAAGACCCCAATGGTTTGGCTCAAGAACTCGTTTCTCAAAGCAGTGTAAGCCGGGCCAAGAAGGAAGGTGAATTGGGTACCTGAGTCAACCATGGTCTGACCCGCCCCAGTATGGTCCGGCTCAAATATGGATTTTGGTACTGGCAACAATTTATCCGAAACTTTAATTCCTTCAAGTTGAACGGTATATGCGACCCGATCAAAGTAAGGCAATGGAGTAGAAATTTGAATCAATGGGGTGTAATTCAATGGCATCAGCCATGTGAAATTCGAGTCGCCGAGTAAGAGAACACCCGAAAAATCCAAACTTGAAATGCAGTAAGAAAATTTGGAAAAATTCATTTGAGAAACGAAAGAGAGAGACCCACGGTTCATGCCCATTAACCCGGTAGTCTTGGAGTCTTCCTCCAAGTTACTACTAAAACCCGAATCCATGCACCCAAATATAGTACCCGGAATTTCGGATCCTCCGATATTGAACGTATCAGATGCTAAATTTCCTTCAGAAGATGATGCGTCGGCGTAGGAGAGAACCACATGGCAGAGATTGTTGGAGTCACAAGAAGCGGGTATGGAGAAGTCCCGGGTTCGGGTGGTGCAAGTGGGTGATGAACAATTGATGGGTGAGTAATATGATGATCGAGTTGGGTCGAATGTGGGTGGCGTCAACCGGGTGGTGTTGCAGTGAAGCCAAGAGAGCTCACTCCCTGTGTCGATAACCATGGTAACATTCTGTGGAGGCGTACCGACAGAGAGAGAAACGGTGAGGGTGACATTGTGGTGGAAGGGAAGCTTGTTTGGGTGTGTTGAGAAGGACCCAGATGGGATTTCTTGGGTTTTCAGTGGCAAAACCAGATTTGTTGTTGCTGATCTTTTTGTGGTCAGCATTGGTGTGGTAGAGCAAAAGAAGAGTTGGGTTTGCATAATCAAGAACAGTGTGTTAAAATAAAGGAGAGAGAGTGGGTTAAGAAGGCAATGGACTTTCATGGTTTTGATGATGATTGATGAACTGAATGGAGCAGTTGGAGGAGAGAGAAAGTGAGAAAGAGGGAGGATCTTTGCTTGGGAGGAGAGAGAAAGTGAGAGAAATGAGTTATTGTGTTTGCAGAAAATGAAATGACATATATTGCTGTGGGTTATGGGGACAGAGCCGTGGATAGAAGGTGAAATTTTGTGAACCAAACAACTTAGCTGATGGCAAATGATCTAAGTACAGTCAGTGAGAGTAGCGTATTGAGAAGAGTTACAAACGACGTCGTTTGAGCCTTTTGGAGTTTTGACAAGATTAAACAACTAATTTTTTGGTTGGTTGGTTTGTTAAGACTACTTAAGGGTCTGGTTGATAATATTATACTTTTTTCTTTAGTTTGTATTTGGTAAGTTTGTTTTGGAGGTTTGTGCTTGTCAGTTGTAGAACATATACTCTAGGCTATAATACCAAATTTTAATTAAGGGTAAATTGCAGGAATGGTCTGTGAAAGTTTATCGCTTGTTGTACTTTTATTTTTAAAGTTCTAATTTTGTCAATTTTATTTTTCATGTTAACAAATTAAGTGAATTTGTTCTTTACTCTTACTTGTCATTCAAATAAATAGACGGAAAATGTGTTGTGCTATTAAGGGACATTTTGTCATTGTGCTTCCAAAGACAAGGGTGGGTCATAAATGGAAAACCAACTCTTCAGAACAAAAACCAAAAACCAAGAATTAAACTGTTAATCCTTCCCCAATCCCCAACCCTGAACCACTGCCGGTAGTTCCTTAGTATCGGCGACCAGATCCCCCACCCATAACACTAACCTCGATGCCCAGATCCCCCCACATCTCTCTTTCCCCCCTTTTCACTGTGAGCACAGTCATCGGTCACCACAACAGCCGTCGCAGCTCCGAAGACTTCCAGCTAAGCCCTTTTTCCTAACGCATGCGTACAACACCCTCGCTTTACCTCTCTTACTCTCTGTCTCATTTCAATTCTCCCCTTTCCATCAAATCCACAAATCTCTCTCTCTCTCTAATTTGTGTGTCTTTCCCTCTCAAACCAGCACATCCTCTCTATTTCAAACTCTAGCATAGAAACAGAAAAAAAACATAAGCATGCATCCATAACATAAGTGCCCAAATACATACACGCAGAGAGATGCACAACATGACCCCCATTATTGGAGTAATGAAGAATTAGGTTTGAATTGGATGTTAGATTGCACTCGTGATTCCCTCATCGCAATTGAAATTACCACTGCTTTCATATCGAAATTGCAAATCAAACTCAGAATTTGTGTGGAGAGAGAGAGGTTTCTGGGTCTCCGGGAGGGAGGTAGGGAGGGAGGGAATGGGGAGAGAAACAGGGGATGGGTGTTTGGTGGTGGAAGCAACTTGCAGCATGGGTGATGGGTAAATAAGGCATGGGGAAGGTTGTGTTAAAGTTGGTTTCGACGATGGGAATAGGAAATCAAGCACAAACCCACACAAAGTAGAGAGAAAGAGAGAGGGGGTGGAGGCGGCATGGTGGTGGAGATTGTAAAAAAAACATTTGTATTGTTATTGTTAAATGACTTCTTTGCCCTTTAAATTTCCTCACATGCCGCACATATATCCTTTCCGTTTATTATTTGGACAACAGTTAGGAAGAAGAACCAAAGTAAATAATTTTGTTAACATGAATGACGAAATTAGAACTTTAGCGATAAAAGTGCAACAAGTGACAAATCTCAGGAACCATTGATGCAATTTACTTTATAATTAATTATGCTTTTTTTTTTTGCCTACTATTATTAGTTTTAGTCTTTTTTTTTGGTACTCAATTATTTTTAGTCTTTATACTTGAAAGTAAGAAAAAAGTTATTCTAATACAAGAGACTCCAACATGATTTAAGAAAAGTTAAATGTATGTAGTCTTACTTCTATATGTTCAAAAAAAATATATTTATGTGACTCTAACTTTTGATATCCAAATCACAATAAAATGATGTGCTTGAAAAAAAGATGGGAAAGCATGAAAAAAATCTCGACTGCCAGAATGATATGACAATTTAACATTAAAAGATGAACACTACTATTCTCAACTCTAAAAAAATGCTCATTCCTAGTTAAGATTGGGAAGGAGGCTATCAGGATCCTATTCTAGTTTTAAGTTGATAAAATTTGGTTCATTTCTGTCATATTTGTGTGTCATTTTATTCTTATATATATACTAGTTATTACTCGTGCTTAAAAACATGAAGTAATAAAAAAAAATTATTAATAATAAACATATTTGTATTCATATTCAAAATACAATTTCAAACATAAATGAAAGAAAAAAAAATTTAAGCACCGGTTGAAGTGAGGTGAGTGGTGGTGGTGGAAGACGATGACGTTTTTGGTGATGGTGACAACCGTGAGTGACAATAATGATGGTGGTGGTGAGCTTTGTGTGACGATGGTGATAGTGGCAGTTATGGGTGACGATTGTGGTGATGGTGGACGCCGGTGGTGGTGGGGCGATGACCATGGTGGTGGCGGTGGGTGAGTTGTGGTGGTGGGGGGACGATGAGTGCTTTTAAGCGATAGTGTGATGGATGAAGGTGAATGATGATAGTGGTGGTGATGATGGCGGGGTGACAGTGGTGGGCGATGATGGGTAGTGGTGGTAGGGGTGAGTAATAGTGATTGGTGGCAATAGTGGGCGACAAGTGATGGTGGGCAACAATGGTGATGAGTAATAATGGTGGTGGTGGTTGCTGACGGTGGGCAACAGTGATAATGCGATAATAATGATAGTGGTAATAAATATAAGAATGAGATAACGACGTTGGTGGCGGTGGACATTGGTGATGGCGGTGGACGACGGTGGTAGTAATCTGTGGTTGGTGGAGATGATAAGGGTGATGGTGGGGCAATGGAGGCAGAGTGGGGGTGATGGTGGGGCAATGGAGGCGAAGTGGGGGTGGTAGTGGCGGTGGTGGTGGTAGTGGTGATGGTCGTGGGGGTGGTGGTGGGGTGATGGTCGTGGTGGTAAGGGTAATGGTGGGATAGTTAAGGTGGTGGTAGGGGGACGATAATGGTGGTGGCAACGACGGTAGTGATAGTGGTGGTTGTTTTGACAGAGATGATGCTAGGTTGATGGCGATGGTGGTAGAGGTGATGATGGTGGGGACGGGGGTGGGGCGGTGAGGGTGGTGGTGATGGGGTGATGAGGGTAGTGGTGGTAGCGGCGACGGTAATGGTGGCAGTGACAGTGATTATAGCGGCGATTGTTTTGGCAGTGGTGGTGGTTGTGGGTGTAGTAGTGACAGTGGTTAGGGTGGTAGTGGGGCGGTGGGGGTGATGGTGGTGGTGGTGGTGGTGGTGGGGGGGGGAGTGGTTCTAAACGCTATTTTTTTTAAAATATTTATGAGTAGTTATAAATCTTAGAAGGGTTTTAAAAAGTCACTCTAAATACAACCTTAGAGGTCTATTTTTCCTATTAAATTTAGAGTGTTAATATTAACTGTCGGATTAACTTCATATTAAAATTTAAATAGATCTCAGCGATTGACAGTGGTGGGGGTGGCGGCGTTAGTGGTGGTGATTGTTGTTGTTGTGGCAGAGGCGGTGGTGGGGGTGGGAGCAGTGGTGGTGGTGAGTGTAGTGGTGGGGATGGGGGCAGGACGGTGATAGTGGTGATGGTGGTGGGGGCGATAGGGGGTGATGGTAGTGGTGGCAATTGGGCAAATCGAAAAACTATTTTTTTAAAAAATATTTATGAGAAATTATAAGTCTTAGAAACAGTTTTAAAAAGTCATCTCAGACACAGCATTATGACCTATTTTTTCAATTAAATTTGGGGAGCCAGTAGATTAATTTTAAAGTAAAATTTAAAAAAATTTCGACCGCGAAAAAAAAAGTTATTTTGTTTATCTTTTGTAGTGGAGTGGTAGTTAGGTTTGACAATCGGGTCGAGTGGAACGGTTTCGTGTCGGGTGGACCGATTTTGTGTCACAAAATCCTTCATTTACTAGACGGGTTACCTGATACAACCCGTGTGTCAATAAGAGAATATGTTAAAATATTTTCGAGTACACATGAAAAATCATCAACTTGCTACACATTACACATGTTTGACTTATTTACTATAATAATAAATCATGGTTGAACAAAATAAAGACAAAAAATAAACATTAAATGATTACTAAATTTGAATGAGTCTAAGTGGTGAGAGGTGTGAGATGAGGTAGAGGCTGAGAAACCTAAATTTAAAAAAACAATTATAGTACAACTGTTAACGGGTTGAAACGAATTTATGAGTTAAACACGAAACTGGTTTATTTATTTCACGGATCTGCCGAGTTAACCCATTAACCATCTGAAACCAGTAAAAATACACCTAAACTCGCTAAATCTGTGTCAAATTCGTGTCGGTTTCATGAGTCGTGTCTAGAATTGTCAGACCTAGTGGTAGTAATAGTGTTGGTGGTGGTGGGACGGTGGGTGGGATGGTGGTAGTGGTGGTGGCGGCAACGATGATAGTGGTGGTGGTTGTTGTGGTAGAGATGGTGGTGGGGTGGCAATGGTGGTGGTGATTGGTGTAGTGGTTGTGGGGCGGTGGGGCTGGATAATGGTGGTAATTGGGCGATTCTGAACACTATTTTTTTTAAAGTACTTATGATATGTTAGAAGTTTTAGAAGCAGTTTAAAAAGTCATCCCAAAAACACTATTTAAGACTTATTTTTTCAATTAAATTTGAGGTGTTAATATTAGCCGTCGGATTAACTTTAAATAAACTTTAAAGAGATTTCAATCGTAAAAAACAAAAATCATGTTATTTATTTTTTGAGATTGAAATTGTATTGTATTTTATTTTATATATATATATATATATATATAGTGTTTAGATCACCTTACATACACTTCGACTAATCTCTTCCTTGATCCGATCAAAAGTAAACCATCTACGGCAGGACTACTATATTCATGAGAGATTTATCTCTCTTGACCTAATTTCAAGGGATTGCCAAGATTTTAACTTAAGATGTTTGAGTTTACAGTTTATTCCTGTAATTACTTCGACTACATTTATGATTTGTACATATATTTTCAATAAAACACGCTATTATGTATTAGTGTCACCGTAGTTTTTTTCAAGTATCCACCTCAAATTTGATGTTTTTAGTTGCCCTAATGTCTCATTAAAAAAGGCAAGTGGGCTTCATTCTCCCACAAGAATCAATCATGGTTTCAATGAATATTTCTAAGTAGATGTAATGTAATGCAAAGTCCAAGAGATATATGACCAATATTTTTTTTTGGGTTTTCGTCAATCAAGAAATCTAAATCCCTCTCCCGAATAACATGTCATGAGTTTTATCGTCGCGTGCGTTTTCAAAATACGATATAAGAATTAATTCTTCAAAATACGGTATAAGAAGTAATCCCAAATTAAATAACCTGCTCTAAAAACACAAACAAAATGTCTTCAATCAGGATGACACAGGTACAACGTCTCACATGCTTGAAAATGGTGGAGATCTGATTTACTGGGTGACTTGGTCATCCATGGCCATGTGGTTATGTACTACTAAGTCTTGAAGATTCCAAAGTAAATTGAGGTGGTTGCACATGTTATGTGGAACCAGGGATGGGCACACAATCCTTAATGGGACCTTTTAAACTTTTACAGAGTGTCTCTGTTGATGACACCCAGTCTTGAGATCTTTTTTTCTTCTCTTCTTGTACTAATAAAATAATTATAAAAATAAATTATATATATAATCCTCAAACGATGACCTTTGTATTAATTAAACCTCAATTTTTTTTTTTGTTGTTGTATCAATTGAACTCCTGAATTCTCTAATATTGAACAGAATTTAGATCTCCTCCATTATTACCCTTTCTCTTCAATTTCTTTCAATACAATGCTACATGAGTGACACGTATAAGATTATGAATTTTAATGAATAAGATGTTTTCTCATTCATTTTTGTTGTTGGTGGAGTGTTAACCATTATTAAGGAATTTTCTTACAACAAAAAAATCTTATCCATTGAATTCAAAATTTTACACGTGTCACTCATCTAACACTGTATTGAAGGGAATTGAAAGGAATGGATAATGGAGGGGATCTGAATATGTCTACGTCCGTTATATTTTATATAGGAAAGTGGTGAAGTGTGTCTCTCATGTAACACAAATTGTTCGAGTAAACTATATATGTGATCTTCAAACTATGATCCTTGTGTAAATTAAGTTCCTAAATTTTTTTTTTATATCAATTGAGCCATTGAACTCTCTAATTATGTCAATTAAACCCTTATATCTTTTTGTGCCATATAGTCACATGAGTGACACACTTTAACGGAGGCAGACATAAATGCTCAATTGATACAATTAGAGAATATAGGGGCTCAATTGATATAAAAAAAATTTAAGGGATTAATTGACATAAAGGTCATAATTTGAGGGTTATATGTATAATTTACTCTAAGTATAATTTAGAAACCCAGAATACTACATTTTCTTTGTCACAAAAATACATTTTGGTGCATCTGCTAGCAAAATTGAAAGAAAAAAAATATCAATTAAGAAAAGGAGAGAGAAAGATGGTACGAAAATTAAAAATTACATTGAACTTAAAAAGATTGTACAAAAATTAAAAATATAAGCATAATTGAATTGAAGCTTTTAAAATAAAATCTCTATAAGATTGTAAGAGTCAAATATAAGGTATATAGTATATACAGAGATCCTCCTAAAAGGTAGAACACATCTATGCAGTATATAGCAATTGGGTGCCCAACTTTAAAGGACTCCCCACCTGCACTGCAAAAATCATACCATGAATGATATATCTGCAAACAATCTCTAGTTCTCATCTGGTCTTTGAGTTTTTCTTCAAATATGTGCAGACAATATCACCCTCTGAGGCATCGATGACTATATTTTCTCAACTTTTTTGTGTTGTTACTATATTTTTGGAATCGCTATGCGAGAAACAATGGGTCAGGTAGAGCTAAGAACTTGTTTCGATCATGATTTCTGATCAGCTATACTTGTAATTGCTGAATATGTGCCAATAATAGCACACACCACTCCCACCATGATTGTGAAAGAGCAAAGCACAATCTGCAGTAAGAACAAGATCCAAGTGATATGGGAAAAGGTTATTCAAAAAGGGTAGCTGAACTAATGCTGGAAAGGGAAAAAAAAATTTCACCTGGGATGGTGTTGATCTACCGCGAGTTATGCTGAGATAGCAAGCGCAAGGGAAGACTAGAGCCTGTAATTGAAACATCAGTCACCAGTATTAATCTGCAGCATCAATATCAAAATAATTGGTTTGAGGTGTAAACATGATTGCAAGGTAAAACTTACTACAAGCATTACTAGAAAAGATCCAATGAAGGCCATCACAGATCCTGCAGTCCATTTACACAACAGTTTAGCAGACAATGTTTGTCACTTCTGGGGCTAAACAAATAATGGTAACCGTGACAAACAGTTAGAATGAATGAATATATACAGAATACAAGTCTCTTACCAAAGTATGGAACTGTCAATGCTACGACTAGAGTTGAAACCACTAAAATTGTCCTGATGAGCGTTGATACACTGCGTGTTCTAAGAGCTGAAGGCAAGAATTCCTCTAGACCAAATGCTATTGGGGTGATTGTCAAGGCATACTTTGTCACTGGGGCTACAACCTAGAACACAGAATAGGGATTAAGTATAACTAATAATACCAGATATTAAAATTTCTTTGATGACTTAAACAAGCTATGAAAATCAATTGAACTGGTGCAGAAGGATCCGCTAGAAATTCTGATTCCCGTGAAACCTGAAACTTTTACTCGAATCATTATAGGACTTACCACTGTCCATGCTGCAATATCAGAAGCCACAAATTTTCTTGGCATATTCAAAGTAAACTGAGATTGAACAGAGTCTCCAAACATTAAAAAGCCACATATTGCTACGCCAGCATACAAAATCACAGCAACAACAAAGCTGCACAGTAGGGGGAACAAATATTAGGCAAATAAACATTCATGTCAACTAAACTTTAGGAATTAATTTAGAACCAACTGATGGTCACCTGATTACAAGAACAGATGGAAATCGTGATGGTTCCTTCATGGAAGAGTATATATTTGGAAAAACTGAGTGGCTGCCAAAGCAGAAACCGATTAGGCCAATCGTGACAGGCAGATTTGCCAGGTCTAATGCTGTTCCATTTGGATGAAATCCAACTTCATTGATCACCCCAACCCATAACAGGCAAAGCACCACCATCACCAATGTGATTACTCCTCCGACTGACCAAGAATGCATGATTCAAATATCAGACACTGTATATATATAAAACAAAAGTAAGAGGAAAGGGACAGTTGATAGGGAACCTGAAATATATGAGAGCAAACTAAGCTTTCGAAGCCAAACTGTTGGAAGAATAACGAGAGTTGATATGATTGCACAGATTTGATAAGAGTCGAGCTGAATTCCCGCGAAATCCATATGGGTAGTTGGGAACATTTGGGACAGATTATCACTCATCATGATTAAGTACTCCACACAAGAAGACTACAAGGAAGAGCTCTCACGTTTAGTTTCTTATAACATAAAGGGGCAGGGAAAATAAGCACAGAACTGAAATTAAACAAGGAAAAATGAACTTGCACTTACGTATAATTCTATATATAAGACTATCTGCATCCAACAAAAACCCAAGTCTCAGGCTTGCTCAATAATTGAATAATCTTTGCAATTAAAATGCAGCCATTTGATAATGGAATGGACTTACAGATATGCATACGCGACCAGCAACCCCAAAAGCAGCCTGTCCGATATCAGGGTAAGTTTGAAGTCCAGGAGAGCTTTCTAAACATTTCTTCAACAAGATCCCAGTATAGCAAGTAATGATACCGAGGAAAAATAGAATCAAGAGGCTCAACCACCCTCCTTCTTTGAGTGCATAAGGAGTTGAAAGAATTCCTATGCCGCATAAAACATTTATTGCTGCATTCAAAAGATTTCAAAAAGAGAAAATCTCAATATGTATGGGAAAAGTGAAGTAGAAAAGATAGCCAAGCAAATGATAAACATTTTAAACTTTTTTTCCCTCAATGTTACTTCCAATTGCATTGATAAATGGAAGCGATTGAAAGGATTATAGATCTTACTATTAAGGATTGATTGGGCATATGAACACTGCTGTGCTGGTGGAGATTCACTGAGAGAGAATCTCGAGCTGTATGCTATAGATAACTTCACAGGGAGTGCTGATGTAGGCAATTCTTCATTGTCTAAGCTTGTTGCAGTAATAAGGGGTCTGGTGAGGAAAGATTCTGGTGTAGAAGGTTGCGATCTCTTGAATGGTGAAGACAAGAAGGGGCTGCCCTTTAGGAAGCTTACTGGTGGAGGGGTACTAATGCTTGTGAACCTGTCCATGGACAGCCTGCACATATTCAAAAAGCAAAGTCGAAAATTACCAGTTAGACACATTGGTCTCTAAAATTTCCCCCTTTTTTTTTCCAATTCTATTCACTAATATATTGAATTCATGCTAAACTCCACTCTAAATTGTCATAGCCCTTGGTTAATTCAATTGAGAAACACATAAACTATATTATTCTGCAATTGAGTCGAAACTACAGTAGGCCTCTTTCTTTTGTACATAGAATGACCCTGTATAAACTTTTGCTTTCCAATATCATAAGATAAGACTCAAGACCAAAATTGAGTAAAAAATTGATGAATTCTCTCTTTTCCTGTAAGCATAAGAACAGCAGATTGAACCACAAGATCATGGAAAGGAGATCTGGCAGTTACTGCCTCAGGCATGACTTGCATTGTTCTAGGTAATCCTAAATTATCAAGCAAATGGTATTCTTATCAAACCACCATAGCTGGTGTGGCCAAATATCGGCTATGCCCAACAATTTTACACTGTGTACCAAGTAACAACTGATTATGATTGCAGCAATATTGGTTCATGCTGCCTAGTACCCTTCATAATTGTATTCTCCACCACCTCCCAATTTCTCCGGAAAATCACTTATATATATAATTTTTTCTTGAACAACATACAGACATCTTCACATCTGTTGATGGCAACGCATCATTAATTCAAAAACTAACCATGTTGATCGGGTTCTTTGAAGAAAATGTCATTGAATGTATGAGAATTAGGTAGCTCTCATCATGAGGATCATGTTCATGCAATTCATGATCATGGAATGATTAATCTTCTCTCAAAACTTCATCTCAGCAAGATGATATCTATGTGGTTATCATTGGACTAACTAATTGTTCCAAGTTAACATTAAAAAAAAAAAACCCAAAACGTGGGTACAAAAATCTTAGAATGTTGTAATACTGAGAAAAAGATACATGCATGAAGAAGAATTAGAATTTAGAATCCATGCACAAGACGAAACCTATATTCTAGATCTCTAGTTTCAAACTCATTCAAACTCCTTTTACCAATGAATAAGAAAGTACCTATAGCTTTGTGGCCAAGAAGGAGAATTACAATCAATGCAATCACTGGAGAGGTGTCTTGAGGGACACGTAAAATCGGATTCAGAGTCATCGCCATTCTCACAGATCCTCTCCGCCTGGTTTTCTTCATCATCAGTTTCAACCTCGATCACACGATCCGATTCGAACTCCTCGTCCACCTTCATCTTCTTCATATTGATTCTATATCCTTCTAGAATCTAAACTTAGCCAATACGTAAAACTTTTCATATGATCATGAACAAGAATATATCTCTCACCTTTGAAAGTTTTTTTTTCCAGTAGTTCTAGTTAGAGGGTGTTTTTGCTTTTTGTTTCCTTATAAAGATAGGTTTGAAGACGACATAGATTGTGTTGGAGAACAACAATGAAATCGAAACTGGTTTTGCATGTTTAATTTGTTTGGTTAATATCACAATTAATCCTCAAACTTTACATCTTATTTTAAAATGGCCCCAAACTTCTCAACTATTACTTTTGTCACAATTTCAGCAATTAAAACAAATGGTGGTGCATAACGTTGATGGCCACATAAAAAACACGTGGCTTGTCTCCATTTGTTTTAAAGGTTAAAATTGATGGAGGAACTTAATTAATATAAAAGTAATAATTAAAAATTTAAATTGAAATAATTAAAAGTTTAGGGATAAGTTTAAAAATAAAGAGAAGTAATAATATTTTACTCTAATTTCTTTGGAGAGATTTGAGATACGAGCGGCTAGGGTTTTGTAAAAATGTACACGTGTTGTAAAACGAAACTTGGTATTCATATATATGTTGACCACCTATTTCAAAGGCGAAGAAACTTCAATACGACAATTGTACGGGGTTGGGTGATCCTTAAAACCTTCTTATTGCATGAAAGAATCCGGGAGGAAGTCATCTTGATTATTCAAGTCTGTCGATTGTGTCCGGTGGAATAAGGTCGTGTCAAATTTTAATAAGTTCGTGTTAAAAGATATTTTATTTATATTTAATTTATTTATTAAATTGTATTTAATGAATTGTAGTATATTAAGTTTGTGTTAGGTATAAATCGTATATAATCAATATATAAATGAGTAATATCGTATACTTTTTTTTGATTGATTTCACTTATACCAGATTCGTTTATTAATTGTATCATGTTTGGTCCACTCATTTATGAAATGAGTGATTTAAGAAAGACTAAAACCCTATAAAATGAGTGGTCCACTCATACCTTGACATTCCTAGCTCCTAGATCTTATGTTTCACCTTGCTCAGTTTGACTCAGCTAATTTTTGTCTTAGCGAGTTAATGTTGACTATTTTTCGGCACAAACCCGTAAATGACACGACCTGTAAATACGAATAATAAATGAGTTGAATTAGTGTCAAACATAAATAACATAAAATAGATATGACTAACACGTTTATCTAGTATTATATGAATAAAATATAAAAAATTTTAGTTTTTTTAATCAAGTATTGACATAATTTTTATACGAAAAAGATATTTTTACTCATATTTATTATTACTAGTTATTTCATACGTGCATTGCACGTGAATCATTTGAAGTTATAATTAAGTTAGGATACTTGCTTAAAGGATTAAATTAAAATATGATTACCAAATAGATCACTTATTTGAGGAGAATATAAATAAATTACCAGTAAAAAAATCAAATTATGGAATATCAAAAATAATTACATTAATTGACTTCCAAATAACTTTTGCATTTACTGCACTATAATATTTCGTGATTCGCCTTCCAAATTGTAATTCATATTCACTTCATTTTAATATTTATATTTATTCCTAGAATATGTACAATCATAGCTCTTTGAGGAAGACGAAATGTTATGTGAATATCATGTAATTAATTGGAGAAGATTTAAGAAAAATTGAGCGAGAGAATTTGCTATTTTATTAAGGTTAGTATGGTCAATTAAAATTTTTTCACTTTTGTTGACATTTTATAATAATAATAACTAGTTGATGCACACGTACGTTGCACGTGAATTATTTATTACAAATTATAATTTTCAAGATTGAAGCATTTGAATATATGTCCCTAGATGTGATTTTTATTGAATAACAAAAAAATGAATGACAAAAAAATTAGGCAAATAATAGGTCCAACCTGTTGGTTTTTTTTTTTGTGGAGTCTAGTTTGTATATGTGATCCGGATGATGGCCCGACCCGAAGTAATGTTGCGTGGTTTTTTAATGAGAAATTTTCTGAGGCTTAGTCTATGGAGCGAAGACTTGGGCCGAGATATAGCCATGTGCGTAGGACATATAAAACCCGTTGTTTTGGTGATTAGGGTTAAGATGGTGGATTGTACAGCCGCTCTCTGTATTCAACTCTCTCAATAGTGAAATCCCTGCAGTTTCGTGGACGTAGGCAAATTACCGAACCACGTAAAATCTGTGTCTTGTTCTTTCTTGTTTTCTTATTGTTTTATATTATTGATTTGTTCTTCGATTGTATGTGTTTGTNTTTAAGAAAGACTAAAACCCTATAAAATGAGTGGTCCACTCATACCTTGACATTCCTAGCTCCTAGATCTTATGTTTCACCTTGCTCAGTTTGACTCAGCTAATTTTTGTCTTAGCGAGTTAATGTTGACTATTTTTCGGCACAAACCCGTAAATGACACGACCTGTAAATACGAATAATAAATGAGTTGAATTAGTGTCAAACATAAATAACATAAAATAGATATGACTAACACGTTTATCTAGTATTATATGAATAAAATATAAAAAATTTTAGTTTTTTTAATCAAGTATTGACATAATTTTTATACGAAAAAGATATTTTTACTCATATTTATTATTACTAGTTATTTCATACGTGCATTGCACGTGAATCATTTGAAGTTATAATTAAGTTAGGATACTTGCTTAAAGGATTAAATTAAAATATGATTACCAAATAGATCACTTATTTGAGGAGAATATAAATAAATTACCAGTAAAAAAATCAAATTATGGAATATCAAAAATAATTACATTAATTGACTTCCAAATAACTTTTGCATTTACTGCACTATAATATTTCGTGATTCGCCTTCCAAATTGTAATTCATATTCACTTCATTTTAATATTTATATTTATTCCTAGAATATGTACAATCATAGCTCTTTGAGGAAGACGAAATGTTATGTGAATATCATGTAATTAATTGGAGAAGATTTAAGAAAAATTGAGCGAGAGAATTTGCTATTTTATTAAGGTTAGTATGGTCAATTAAAATTTTTTCACTTTTGTTGACATTTTATAATAATAATAACTAGTTGATGCACACGTACGTTGCACGTGAATTATTTATTACAAATTATAATTTTCAAGATTGAAGCATTTGAATATATGTCCCTAGATGTGATTTTTATTGAATAACAAAAAAATGAATGACAAAAAAATTAGGCAAATAATAGGTCCAACCTGTTGGTTTTTTTTTTTGTGGAGTCTAGTTTGTATATGTGATCCGGATGATGGCCCGACCCGAAGTAATGTTGCGTGGTTTTTTAATGAGAAATTTTCTGAGGCTTAGTCTATGGAGCGAAGACTTGGGCCGAGATATAGCCATGTGCGTAGGACATATAAAACCCGTTGTTTTGGTGATTAGGGTTAAGATGGTGGATTGTACAGCCGCTCTCTGTATTCAACTCTCTCAATAGTGAAATCCCTGCAGTTTCGTGGACGTAGGCAAATTACCGAACCACGTAAAATCTGTGTCTTGTTCTTTCTTGTTTTCTTATTGTTTTATATTATTGATTTGTTCTTCGATTGTATGTGTTTGTTAGTAGATTTAAATCGTATTAAATCCCAACACAACCTCTATGCTACCAGACTTATGCCTTAAAAGCCCATCACAAATAAGTTTGGCATCTCTCATTTGACAAAAAAATCAATTTATTGGAGCCTACAGAGTGATATGCGACTGTGTCAACTCATTGAGGATACAAATTAGGCAATATATCATTCATCATCTATTAGTATATATGCTTCTAAGCTCACTTACTTAATTTGATGAATTCTTCGCACTTGTTAATGATGTTTTGAGAATAGTTTGGCCCCATAATTCAGCTACTACAACATAAAAAGTGGTTGTCCTATAGTCTTAGAGGATATGCACCAGTAGTGTGTTGGTTCAAGAGACAAATGATCCTTACTTCCGTTTGTTAAATTTTTAACCTAAAAGATGCGTTTGTCCACCGTTATATCTAAGATTTATCAACTCACCACTTCCACTTCAAGAGGTGAGAAGAGTATTATAGGCATGCACAAAGAGAGCAAAAAAGTTAAACCACTTGTAAAGTTGTAAAAGTAAAGTAATAAGGAATATTTTTCATGCCTAAATCTACTCTTGTTCAAAAATATGAAATGTAAAAGAGAACGAAGACAACATGACTAGCTAATTTCTTAAACATCACTTAAAACAATTTGAAATGATAAGTCCCACACAGCAGCCTAGCAATAATCAAATAAACTCTCAATAGTTGCACTCACTTTTTCAATGATTGTTGACTACACAATTTTCATTCCTCTAGCAAGCGAGATATGAACATGAGGCAATCAGTGGAGGTCACCTGTGTGGAGATGGAAATAGCCAATCATCATAACCAATCAAGTAGCACTTCAGAAGCAAAATGTCCATTTTGGCTAGAACAAAATATTATTCATCTATTTGTCATGCCCACAAATAAGGTTGTCAAAGTTCTAAAAGATATTTGTAATACTTCAAGATCTAGGTGGATGACTTTGTGGACATTAGAGGTAGACATTCTTTCAGAGCATCCAGAACACTTATCACCTCATATGCACCTTTAAGGTTAGAAGGATTTGTATTTGATCCTCAAGCAAGTACAAGAAACCTTTCAAGGACCTTTGTGATGGCTTTATTTGTAGTTGGCAACACCAGTGGGGGTGCCATCACGGCTCCAGTATTGTCAATTCAAAGTGCCCCTCAAAATTTCATGGATACAATCTCAAGAACTAAAAAAAGTAACAATCCACTCTCATGATGGCATAGGCTCAACATTGATGGATTCTCGAAAAACAAAAACATCTGAAATGTGAAAAAAAAACCGCAAACTTTTTTATAGTGAATATGAGTTAGGCTCTCACTCTATATCCCCTAAAGATAATTCAAGATATAGTAAGGCATACATAATGAAGTAAAAATAGTTAGAATTTATGGGTTTACAATACAAATAGAGTAAGATGACCCATCACTTTCCAAACAATTCTTTCATCATGCAGATAAACCTTGTCAATCATAAAGTAGTAGATTTATCACCAAGATGGAGGCAGATTTTCACTTTACACAAAGAAGAACACAACCCAGTTTTATGTACCAATAACTTGAAGAAAAATTGAACCTTAACAATAGTTGCGAAAAAAGAGGGATAAAACAAAAGTGACATTACAATGAGCCAAATCATTTTTGTTTTGGTTTTACTCGTTAGGGGAGGTTGGCTAGCAAACTACAAATAGAATAATATAAGTGGTATAGTTAGCACATCAAGGAGTAACTCACCTTGATTATTTTCTTCAAATAAAGTCGCTCAGAATTATGTTTGGCATCACGCTGCTTCCCTTACAACAAAGTTACTACATTAATGGACTCTAGGAAAAGCTAACAAACTAAATATAAATCTCATCGGCTTCATAAGAAGAGAACTACCGATGAAAAATAAATGAGACAAATGTTGAAGTAATAAAGATTAAATGAAAGAAAATAAAGAAGTTGTTGCTTGAATGCATACATGCCAAGTTGCTTCGGTCCGAAGAGCAAAATTGCAGTTTTTTGTTTTAGAAAATAAAAATACCTTTGACTTTTCATCTCGGAGTCCTTTGAACAATCCGAAAATACATAATACCAAATCAATCAATACAAGGAACACAAAAAAAATCATAATCTCTGGTGTATGTTCAGACTTCAATTAGACACCCAACCACCCCATGTATATTCCAATTAAATAGAAATATAAAGCTCTTCATCACATTTGAAACAAAATAAAAATTGATGAAATAGTATATCGTACATGACTTTCAAGAGGCCATCAAATGCTTTGGTTGTAGATGAGTCGGCCATCGATTCAACTTTCTCAGATTTTACAGACGCCACTACCGTAGTAGAGAAATGGAGAAGGATGTGGGAGTTGATCAGTCCAAAAAAGGACTATTGGCATTTAAGATTTTTTAAATTAGCAAGAAAATAATATATACCATCAATTAACCGTCCATGACCTAGAGAGGCCAATGGTTGTCCATGGAAATAACATTTCAATGCTTATTGAAGACAAAAATAAATCCATGACTGTTAGAATGACAAAGGCAATGTAATAACTATCCATGAAGACTACTAACTAGCACATTAGTTCAATGTCTTTCGAATATCCAATCAATTCCAATAACAGTCATACTGTTAGAAGCATAAAGAAGACAACATTAGCTGCAAAATCTACATTGAGATGAAAAAATAGTGAGAGGAGTATAAAGAGCTACAAAAAATAATGAAACAAAGCATAAATTAGAGATAATATTGGAAACACCTAACAAATTGAATTGAAAAAAAAATGAAGGGTAGCAGAACACCTACTGGTTTGTCCAACCAAAAAGCATAGACTATATAGAACTATGTTCAATTCATTTTTGTCTTGGCATAAGCATAAAGTAACAACAAAATAAATAAAGGAAATACAAGATTTTGGCCCGAGAATGGCTAAATCGACTACTAAATCAGAAAAAAAAGGTGACAGACAATGAACCGGGAAATTACTTCCTGAAATGCAACAAATAACTCAGATAGACAGCCCACAACTCTAAGCAATCCGAGAAGACAGACATATAGAATATGAATTATCATATTGCACCAGGAGGGCAAATGAAGTAATCAAATTCGAGAGGTTGTCAGTTTTATCTTGAACGAATGTATGGTGAGAAGTAACTGAAATATTCATTCTTCAGAATCAAAATGGGTACCGTCTACCAGTATTTATGATGGATAATGGCTGAGTTTGTCGAAGAATCAACTTGATGATTGTGTTCATTCCAGGGCCTGAAATAGGGATTTTCGATGAACAATCAATTTGGGTTTAATCCATTGCATGTGGCTGCCAATCAGGGTCATCAATGTAATGAATTTTGGGTTTAGCTTCCTTTCTCTGCGGTCAACATGAAAACATAAGATGAGGAAGTGGAAAAGGTGCATAAATTGAATTTAACAGTTACAGACTTCTGACTTGAAAAGCATTATCACTGCCCTTATTACTTTGGGAATATCGAGGGAATGCAGAAACAAATTACTTCAATTCTCATCTCTCAGTCCATGAAGAACAAATATATCAATCCATGAACACAACTAACCAACATATTAGTTCAATGTCTGTCTACTACCCAATCACTTCCAATAACAATCGTACTGGTAGAAGCATAAAGAATACAATATTACCTGCAAATTCTACATTGAGATGAAAAAATAGAGTCATAGAGAGGAGTGTAAAGAGAAACAAAAAATAATTAAACAAAGCATCACAATACAATAATTTTGTTAGGCAGGCCTACTAGACGGAATTTGTATATACAACTTCATTTAAAAATAATGAATTTTTGGTAAATTATATTTTTGAATTAAAAATAGAGTTAAAATGAGCAAAAAATAAATAAGGAATAATTTTATTTATACATAGGAGTGGAACTACATCACAATAGAATGGGCATATCTCAATTAGGTTGATACCTACCCACCTATATATCTTTTCCAAATTTTAAATTTAATGTGTCTAATGAGCATATCTCAATTTTTTGTAACTTTTTTTGTGGGCGGACTATTGGGCCGAATAATGGGTTTGGAGTAGTCTCAAGTCCTCTTTTAAAAGATATTGAGCTCGGACTCGACGCAAACTAATTATTAAGACTGTCGGATTTTAGGCTTAGATAACAGGAGCGCATGCAATCCGGTTCATGGATACTCTGCTAAACGAGTTTAGATTATGCATTATTATTTTAATTTAAAAAACGGCTTGAGTTTGAATGAGTCAAAATCAAAGCCCACCAAGAAAATCTTTTGGCTGGACACCAAAAAATGGATGTATTCTCGTTATGGATTTTAAGAAATAAATAAAATCTTTTTCATTTATAAGACTCACAAATTTATCACCTCTATTATCACTCAATTTAATAATACAACATAATCATAAACTCAACTACCATATTTTCAATTTACTCTATCCTCGTATAATAAATACCTCAAGTAAAAAAAAATTATAACAGAATACAATTAAATTCACAATCTTTAAATGATAAATAAAATTAATCAAATCTTGCTTATTTATAAAACTCATGAATTTATTATCACTATCACTATTCAGCCCCAAATGACACAATATAATTATAAATTTAATCATCAAATGTCTAATCCACCACATATAAATATGCACAGAAAGATACCCACACACATTTCTTTTTTGATTACCAACAAACCCTCCTAACTAATAACTGCTTTGATTAGAAATACAATTATTCAAGTTTTTAAAGATAAAATAATAAAAAATTAATGTTTAATTAAAAAATAGGGTAAAAATTGCAGACATCCCCTGAGTTTTGACAATATTATACAGACATCTCCAGACATTTTATAAATAACACGGAGATCCCCTTAAGCTTGAAATTCATTAACTCCTCCTGTCTTCTTTTTGTCAAAGTTGCTAACAAAAATTGATATTTTTATTCCAAAACTTTATTATTTTTACAATTGTCATTTTCCAAATTTAGTCTCAAAAAAAAAAATTAAAAATTTAATAAAATCAAATAAAAAATTGATCTAATTTAGTACTCTAAAAAATTAATTAAATAAATTTTAATATTAATTTGATAATAATAAAAATTAATTTAATATTAATTTGTCAAAATTGAATATAAATTGGACAAAATTAAATGTCAATTTTTGATAAAATTATATATTAATTTAAAATCTAAGGTTTATTTCGTGTTGAATATTATTTGGTGTTTATAGTTAATGTTTTATTTTTTATTTTTTTGGAAGGTACGCTATTTTTTATTTACATTAAGTATTATTTACAAATTAAGAAGTAAGTGGCAAAATACATGTCGCCAAATATATAAAAATTTTGAATTAGTTTCATGAAATAAATAATTGTATAACATGTAGTTTCATTTATGTTATGAAGTAAATAATAACAAAAATAACACAAGAAAAACGAAAAAAAAAGAAAGATAATAGTATGAGATGGAGAAAATGAGAGTATAAGATAGATAGATAGAGAGAGTTATCTGAGAGAGTAAGGTTTTAGAATTGTAAAATAAATGAAAGTCTTATTAGAATCATCAAATCAAAACGATCTGAGTCGCCAAAAGTTCAAGATGAATAATCTAACTACTTTATTATATAGATGGGAGAGGAACTGCATTACAATAGAATGAGCATATCCTAATTAGATTGATACTTCCTCACCTACCTATCTTGTTTTTCAAAAGAAAGGTGAGTAGGCTGTTCGGGTTGGGCGGACTAGTTCGTGGGCCGGGTTTTAAGTGACTTTTTGTGAACGGGTTATTGGGCTGAGTTTTGGCCCGAAAAATGGGTTTGAAGTAGACCCAAATTCTCTGTTAGAAGATACTGAACTCGGAATCGACGCTGACAATCCGGTCCATGATACCCCTCCCAAACGAGTTTAGATTATGCATTTTTATTTAAATTTCTAAAACGGCTTGCGGTTGAATGAGTCAAAATCAAAGCCCACCAAGAAAATCTTTCGGCTGGACACCCAAAAATGGATGTATTCTCATTATGGATTTGGGCCAATAAATACCCATCTCCCCAGCCTTTACCCCTAATCCGACCCGATGATTTTCCACCAATCCGACCAGCCATACAATACAAGTACAATAACATTTGCTTACGCCTTTGCTCAGGTTTAATATCGTCTGGAATCTTCTAGACAGTTCCTGAAACTGCTTAGATTTTGATTTCCAGAAAGGACCTAACCGAGTTTTGTGTGTGTTTGTGTGTCTATTTATACAAATTCCTTGTACTATTTCCGAAATTTTCAAATTTCTAGTAATTGCTTCCAGATAGAAATAGAGAGCGACTCTGTTTAGGGTTATTTTGTTTTTTTTTTTGTGGGTTGATTGAAATGGCGAAAGAAGGACCAAATTGGGATGGATTACTAAAGTGGAGCCTGGCTCACTCTGATGGTACTAGTTCCAATCGTAATTTGAGGTATTACCTAACAAAAAAATCCCTAATTTTTGAACTGTATTAGTTCGTTTTAGTTTTTTTTTTCCTTTGAAATTTACATCATGTTGATTTTTGTTTTGTGTGTGTTAGTGATGAGGATCGAAGATGGTTCATGGAAGCTATGCAAGCTCAAACAATGGATGTTATTAAGCGAATGAAAGAGATAACCCTTGTTATGCAAACTCCAGAGCAAGTTTTGGAATCTCAAGGAGTTACTCCTGCAGAAATTGAAGGTATATCTATCATTTAGGCCTGGACTTTTGAGTTCTCAAAAAAAAAAAAAAAAGTAAAAGAAATTATTTTTAGTCAGTTTTACATGATGAATTGAGAAGGGTGGTTAACTGGTTGTGTGTTCTTAACAGATATGTTAGATGAGCTGCAAGATCATGTTGGTTCTATCGATATGGCTAATGGTAAGCCTTGTTCTTATTCATGTGTCTGTTTTACCTTAAATCTTGCATTCTAGTATTGGATTAAGGAACCTAGTAATATTACAAAGGTCATTGGTGTGACGTGATTCTAGGAACATCGTTCTATGGCACTTGAGATGGCTGAGACTTAATTTAGAATTGGTGGACAATATGCTCACTATAGCATGACAACCTCTTAACTTCCTGTAGGTTAATTTTATTCTTCTTGTTAATTTGTTATTGCTTAATGTCATTGTCAAGGATGGTTCTCAAAGTGATTTGTGTTTCTCACAGTTACTAGTTAGGTATCTTCCTCACAAAATCACTACAAAGATGGCCTGCGTGCCTAGTGGGGCTAATGATCCTTAACCCACAGCATGGGATGCAAATTGAGGTCTTGTTAGTTGCTGTTACTGTCTTTAGATGTAGTTTTCTACATTACTGTAGATGGAATTCTGGGTTCAATTGGGAAGGTCATTCCGTAATCCCTTATTGCTGGGTGTTCTCATAGGGGTACATGTGGAAGGGAAAACAACTATTCCATTTCTTATGTTCACCATCAGTCGACTTGGTCTTTGTCATGTCCATGTCTTGCTTTTTAAGAAATGTTGTGTTAGCGTGTATCCGTGTCTTGGGTCCGTGTTTGTACTTCTTAGGGTATATGTAAACCAGGTTGTATTAATAACTCTTCAATGTCAGAGCTTACTATCTGTGTCTTTGTGATATAGGTTTCTTCAACTCATAATCCTCGTAATAAATTATTGAATATACTAATAATTCTTTGTGTTATATGCTTTTCTGAAAGCTTAATTGTTTTTCTTGGGCTCAGTTGTTCTAAAGAGCATCCTCCGCAGGTTTGTTAAGTGGCATTTAGTTTTTTAAAAAGGATTCCATGTATTTGTTTGGTTCCTAGCGTCATCTCTCAATTTTCACGTTGTTGCTGTCTTTTCTGTTTCTCAGCCTTGCATTCAACATCTGTGTGTGCTTTGTTTGTATAGAAATGACCCTACTTTTCCAAATTAGCCAAGATTTTGACCAGATACGAAATCACTGGTGCTTGATCTAGTGGTATCTTGACTTCTAAGATTGTGTCTTCGTGTGCTTGCACGTGTCTTTTCCTCTTCACATGTCTCCAAAAGAGGGGATAAACTTTGTCTGAAATTTGCATGATGTGGAGCCATTCACCCTCCATCTCCCGCCAAAAGTTTGGTACTTTTGGAGAGTGAGCGTGGCTTTAGACATAAATGGTTTGTGTACATTCCTTTGCAATGGGTTTCCAAACAAAAAAAAATCAATCCATTTGCACATCTGTTCACATTGTAAGAAGCTTTTGCCTGAAGCCTTTAGGCGTGTATGCATATTCTCCAGATCTTCACTCAATTGGTGGTTTGGTCCCTCTCCTTGGGTACCTGAAAAACACCCATGCTAACATTCGAGCAAAGGCTGCAGAGGTTGTGACTACAATTGTTCAGAACAATCCCACTAGTCAACAACTAGTCATGGAAGCTAATGGCATGGAGCCTCTCCTCTCCAATTTCACTTCTGATCCAGATGTTGCTGCCCGAACCAAAGCACTTGGTGCAATATCCTGTGAGTTTCCTCTTTTTTCCGTACCAATGGACATTGTTGTTTACATTAATTGCAGAAATATTTTCACTCCATTTCATTCATGCCCTTGCATTTTTCTTTTAATGTGTTATTATTGGCTGCAACAGCTTAGATTGATAGATTTCCTTTTTATTCAGGTTTGATCATGCACAACAAGCCTGGAATTGCAGCATTTCGTCTTGCAAATGGTTATGCAGCTCTGAGAGATGCTCTAAGTTCTGAGAGTGTTAGATTCCAAAGGTATGCCTTCTGACAATTGTTTAGGCATTGTCTACCTTTTTGATAGTTAACAAAATATGTTGATTAACTTATATTACAACAAGTGTAGGGAGCAGACCTCATGCATAATCTTCATATCTGTAATTATTATTTCTACATATTTCTCTCTGTTGCTTCTCTTTGATTTATTCTTTTTTAATTCTTTGATATATTCTTTTTTAATTCTTTGTAGATGTTTTCATACTGTTAATTCTTATAATTTGATAAATATTGCAGGAAAGCCCTTAACTTGGTCCATTATTTACTGAACGAGAACCGTTCAGACTGCAATGTAGTATCCGAGCTTGGGTTCCCTCGCATTATGATGCACCTGGCCTCCAGTGAAGATCCAGAGGTACGAGAAGCTGCACTCCGGGGTCTGCTTGAGCTCGCCCGAGATAGAAAAGAAGGAAATGACAGTAGCTTGAGTGAAGAAGATGACAAACTGAAGCAAATTCTCCAAGAAAGAATTAAGGGTATCAGCTTGATGTCATCTGAAGACCTTGGGGCTGCTAAAGAAGAAAGGCAGCTTGTGGAGTCCCTTTGGAATGCCTACTACAATGAGCCATCTTCTCTTCGAGAGAAGGGGCTTGTTGTCCTCCCAGGTGACGATGCACTCCCACCTGATGTTGCCAGCGAACATTTTGAGCCGGCTCTTAGAGCTTGGGCTGCAAACCGAGAAGCTGAGAAAAAAGCAGATAATGAAAGGAAAGAAGCTCCTTTGTTACTAGGATTTGGTCCGTCAGCTGTGAATACTACTGTTCAGAGTGGCTCTGATGCAGATACTGCAAGTGGACAGAATAATGCTTCTACATAAATCGATTGTATTATACGTGGTTTTCATGATTTTGCTAGAGTTGGCTTGAAAAGTTTTGTTGTTACATTTGTGTTTCTGATATTAAGCATTTTTGCAGTAGTTTTGCTTAGGCTTGTTATCTGTTGGATTTCAGAATGGAGCTGTCTGAAATTTATCGCGTCTCAGGAAACAACAAATGGCTATTTTATTTTTCAATGTTAATTTTTGTTGTTGATGGTTAGGAAAGAATTTCTTTGAATGCATTACCAAGGGTGGCTAGTGTTTCAAACGAGAGTAAATATTAGGTGTAATGATAATACCACGTCATCAGTCACACCGAAAAAAAAAAAAAAAAAAAACGATTGTAGAATATTACAAGGTAACATTAGTTTCTTGTTACCTACTTAAGGAGATCAACTCCTTTGTTTCTTACAGTTCTTCATAAACTAGCTCAAATCTGACACACTGATAAAGTACTAAAACCAGAAGATTTTAACCAACCTATACAAAACTCAAGTGCAGATAACTTGTTACTATGGGAAACTTCATCACCAGCACCATTTTCTCACAAAGGCATGAATGCACTCTTTATTTCTTCGTGTCACCCCTTATTGGGGAGGGCAGAAAGTGATAACATACCGCGAAGCCCTGCACTTGTTAAGGCTGGAAGAGTCATCAAAAGCATAACTATAAGCCTTTGGGCAGATGGCCTTAAACAGATGAGCAAAGAGCGTTGGCTTGCAGGTTTTTGGGTTTGCATACTCCCCTGTGCAGCAATACTTAGCTGATTGCATTGCCAAGCATGCGCTCTTACACCCCACAACCTTGCCTCCAATCTTAACTTCCAACGCAGATGGACAACAAATGTTCAAATCAACTTCACACGAGGCCACGCCGCATCCAATTCCGCCCCCAACAGGCTTCATTGAGATGGGCAAGTTAAAGCCATCAACCAAACTCACATCATAGAAATGTAAGGGTGAAGTTGATGTTCCGAATGTCATTTCCACCACTGTTGCAGGTGGTGAACCGGCCATGCCCTGGCAGTGGAGTAAACCAGAACAATCTCCAGTGCCACAACTTCCTTTTCCATTCTCGTTGAAGCTACAACCTTGCCTGGACCAAACCCTCCCTGACCACTTGTCAGGCACGTTGATGACTACTTCCTCACCCTTGCTCAGTTGGAAGCCACCATCTTCAAGGGTTTGGTGGCCTGCACCACCTAGTATTCCTGGCCACAGGCTTTCATTGCAGTTGTTTACTAGTATGAGATGAATCCCATCTGCACATAAACAGTAGAAGAAAGAAAAATAGTTCAGTTGCTTGATGGATAATGAAAGAAATAAATACATCAGAAAGAAGATAAAGAAAAATTGGAGGAACACTCGCTTGTGCTAATGAAAGAGAAGATCATGCAGAGTAGAATGGAGAGCAGACATGAGGAGATCAACATTGTTCAAGAGAGCAGTAGAGGAGGTATCCAGATTTTGCTCCGCAAGGATAGGTTTCAACAATTGCTGAGGTTTTAAAGTACAAACGGTTTCTGGAGAGAACATCCTCCTTAAACTGTTTTTGTTCCTCTTTGGCTCATACCCTTTACCTTTCTCTTTACTCTTTTTTCATTTTTATAGGAAAGAGAGCATATATCCATTGCTTCTTCTGGGGGTTTTGTATATCACTATTAACTTGTTTAAGCTAGGATATCTTCAGTTAAATAAAAAGTTAGTTTCATGTACGATACGCCCGCCACTGCGGATTTCTAGATGATCAGAAGCCGAAACTTTACCCATTATGGGAAAAGCCATTCCACACGGAGAGAGATGACTAGAATCAAACCTCCAAGTTTAAGATATGGATGTTGATATGGCAAGAGAATTGTCTCTATTTTCTGCTAAAAGGAGCAGGAATAAATAAGGTTAATTAGATTGGGGTTGGCTTTTGTATTGTAATATAAGCTATCTTCATCACATGATTATGTCCACAACTTTCTTAACCTTGTAACATAAGACCCCTCTTTATATCTTGAAAGTATGTTTTGGAAGAGATCTACACTACACAAGATCAAAGACTGTAGGCTATAATTAATGAGAGATAATTATATAAATTAGTACTTTTAAATATATGTACATATATATAATTAATTAATTATTGAGGGCTAATTTTAAAAATCATTACTTTAGCCTTTAGTATAATCTTAGACGAAAAACGAGGTGGCTCATGACTGAACTGGTAGAAAAAAATAGTTTCAAGCAGAAAAACGTGGGATAGAAGACGAAAAAGGCATGGATTTGTTTTACAGAAAAAGGGAGAGTATAATCCGTCAATTAGGGGTGTCAATCTTGTCATGTCGTGTCGTATCAATTCTACGTCGTGTCACTTTCGATAATGTTATTTTCGTGTCGTATCACTTTCGGTATGTGTCGAGTTTGTGTCAATATTCGTGTTAATAAAAAATTATTTAATTTGACAACGACTAATATAATATTATTTAAAAAATTATAAAACTCCTATTTTCTATCTAAAATACTCATTAAATAATTATTTTTTATCTACAGTACCCATTAATCGTGTTATTAATGTCGAACCTTAATTTGATTCATTTATTACTCGTGTCAACGAATCATGTTTTTTTCGGGTTTGTATCGGGTCGGGTTCATGTTCGAGTCAAAAATTGACACCCTACCGTCAACCACATAGTAAATTAAAAGTGTAATCGACGTTTCACAGTTCCAAATTTGCTAACATGTGAACTAATTAAAATCTAAATTTTATTCAATTAAGAGTTCAAATTTATGAAGCCAAAGTAAACATAATTAGCAGTGCTTTTGTTTTTGTATCAACTCCAAACGAGGCCAACGGATAATAGATAGATTAAAATCCAAATGAGCCATGTCCAGTATATCTCAAATGGTGACCGCAGCAGCCCTTAGCACCATAGAGGAGCTCACTTGGAAGAACCCGGAGGTGCTCTCTAAGAACGAATTGAGTCATTAGAAATAATCGGTAACATCAACCTGTTCAAGTGCACACCAATTTAAAGAAGAAGAAAGGGGAGAGAGAGAGAGAGGAAAAAAAAAAAAAAAAGACTTAGAGATCTCTAGCTCAGTTGCTGAACCATCTATAACGAACAGTCACCCATGTTCTTTAAGAGTATGTTTTAAACTTGTTCGAACTACGGTAGTCAGTTGGCTTATCAATGTATCGGGTTCTAATCTTAATTCAAATGCAATTAGTCGGATATGAATTAATATTTTAGATATTTAGTTGTGGGTATGTTTTATAGAACTTATTTAGCTTTAAATATCATAGCCAGACTTATACTCTATTAAGTCATCTTTTTCATCAAATTATTGTTATTAAGTACATATTTCGAATTTTTTTTTTGTATTGCCTAATTTTTCATACCATAAATACTGTTTATCATTGTTAATTTCAATATTTTCAAATATAACGACTCTTAATTTGAAAATTGTGTTAGCATTAAAATTAATTTTCTATTATATTTGTCTATCTGTATATAATAATATTAAACAATAACATACTCAACAAAAAAAATAGTAATATCAAATAGTAACATATTCAATAAAAAAAAATAATAACATTAAATTGTAACATGCTCAATAAAAAAACTTAATTAAAAATTTAATCATTTTAATAAAATGACACCATACAGTGATTACTTATTTTATTGTGGGCAAGACAATAGTTTTAATGTTAGCACAATTTTTAATTTAAGAGTTGTTAGCCTTTTTAAATAAGTTTTGATTAAATATAATTATTGAGGATATTTTGAATAATAGAGATCAAAATAGACTTATTTCCAAACAAGTTTTTTAAGTGGATTTAAGTCCAAGTAAGTCTACAAAAAGGGACCGACCTCCAAAGGACCTTTAATATATTTTTTTATTGATAATCCGAAGTCGAATCCAAATGTGATTCCGAATCTGAATCCGATATATTATATTTAATAGATTCGAATTTGAATAATCATATATTCGATCCTATTATGATTTAATTTGAATTATTTAAATATTTATATACTAATTATTACATGTGCCTGAAAGTACAGAGTAATAAAAAATTATAAACAATAAACATATTTGTATTCATATTTAAAATCAAATCACAAATATAAAGAAAGAGATAAATGAATTTAAGTATCGATTTATAGTAGGGGAAAAAAGTGCTGGGTGACATTAGTGGTGGTAAGAAACGGTGATGGTTGTGGTGGGTGGCAAAGACCGCGGGGGAGGGGGGGGGAGGGTGGCGAGAGCGGCGACGACAATGGTGGCAGCGATAGTGATTATGATGGGGGTGGTGGTGGTGACGATGATGGTGGTGGCGTCGGTGATGGTGGTGGTGGGGGTAGAGATAGTAGTGGAGTGATTTCAAACATTATTTTTTTTTAATTATTTATGAGAAATAAATTTTAAAAATACTTTTAAAAAGTCGCTCCAAATACACATTTAGGATTTTATTTTTCTTATTAAATTTAGGGTGTTAATATTAGTCGTTAGATTAATTTTAAAGTAAAATTTAACGCGATTTCAACCGCGAATAACAAAAAATTATTTTATTTATTTTTGAAATTTGAATTGTAAGATACTTTATTATATAGATTAATATTTAAAAATTTAAGTGGTTAAGGAATTCGAATATAAATCATGAAAATAAAATTTGTTAAATTATCAAATCAGATCCGAATTCAAATTAGCCTAAATCCGATCCATAGGTTTAGTGGCCAATATTCGAGCTTGATAAAATAATTGGTACAAGTTTAAACAATTAAAAAGTAAGCTACCCATTTTTAATTTTCAGCACCGAAAAACCCATTCGGTGATTAGGGTTTTAGTGTTATTGACCCAACAAACTCCGGGAATACTGTACCTGAGCTGCGATGATTGGGATCACAACTAAACTATCAAGGGCGGTCAGGATTGGCCCCTCTTTCTCTCTCTATAGACCACCGCTCTCTTTTCTCTCTGTACCACTACCATCACCTTCACCTTCACCACCAATCAGAATATTCTCTTCTGCAAATAATAGCATCAACAATGTCAACCCAGTTGCTCTTCAGATGATCAATTACGCTCTCTCTCTTGCCCGTTCCGAAAAATTAGGTATTCCAATCCTCTCTCTCTCGCCCCACTAGTATGTAATATAATTGAGGAATTAGTTTCTGTTTCATTACCTTGAATTGCAATATAATTTCTATATATGGGGCGCGTAGATGAATATTCACAAGGTCTATTGGTACTGGAGCAGTGCCTCCATACTCAACAAGATGATGATTCAAAGGGAATGGTTCTACTCGCCATGTCTACCGTTTTGACTGAAAGGTGTTTTCTTTGTTTTGAATCTCTTTCTCTCTCTATATATATATATATATAATAAAGTAGTTAGATTATTTGTATTTGAGTTTTTCGAGCTCAGATTGTTTTGATCTGATGGTCCTAATTGGTCTTTCATTGTTTATATAAATCTAATACTCTCGACTCTCATTTAATTCTCTCTCTCTCTTTCTCTCTCGTACTATTTTTATTTTTTTTGTTTCTTCGGTGTTATTTTTGTTATTATTTACTTCATAAAAAAGATGAAATTATATCTTATAAAATTATTTATTCTATGAAACTAATTCGAAGTTTTTATATATATGACAACATATATTTTGCCACTTGTTTCTTAATTTATAAATAACACTCAGTATAAATAAAAAAAATAGCACATTGATTATAAACACTAAATAATATTTAACACAAAATGAACCTTACATTATAAATCAATATATAATTTTATATAAAATTGACATTTAATTTTTTTCAATTTATATTAAACTTTATCGAATTAATATCAAATTACTTTTTATTGTTATCAAATTAATAATAAAATTCATTTAATCAATTTTTTGGATACTAAATTAAATTTTATTTGATTTTATTAAATTTTTAATTTTTTTGGTACTAAATTTAGAGAAAGACAATTGTAAAAATAATAACATTTTTTGGGATGAAATTATCAATTTTCATTAGCAACATTGACAGAAGGGAGACAGAGGGGTCTCTAGGCAATGAATTCAAACTTCAGTGGGTCTCAGTGTTATTTATAAAATGTTAGGAGCTATCCATATAATATTGTCAAAACTCAGGGAATGTCCATGTATTTTATCCTACTTTTTAATTAAACATTAATTTATTATTATTATATCTTAAAAACTTGAGTAGTTATTGGTTAGGAGGGTTTTTTGGTAACCAAAAAGGAAATGTGTGTGAGTGTTTTTTTGTGTATATTTATATGTGGGGAATTGGATATTTAGTGATCAAATTTGCAATGATATTGTGTCATTTAGGGTTGAATAGTGATAATAGTGATAAATTCATAAATTTTATAAATGAGTAAGATTTAGTTGATTTTATTTATCGCTTAAAGATTGTGAATTTAATTGTATTCTATTAGTATTTTTTTTTTGCTTGAGGTATTTATTACATGGGGATAGAGTGAATTGAAAATATAGTGGATGAGTTTATAATTATGTTGTGTTATTGGATTGAGTAGTAATAGAAGTGATAAATTCGCGAGTCTTATAAATGAGCAAGATTTTATTTATTACTTAAAAATTATAACTTTCAATGGGGTTATGTTAGTATTTTTTTTT